AATCGTTTTGATTGCTCTTCTCCTATTGCAGAGCACCGTATGTATAATTCAAGAGGTACAACGCAGCCATGAAGCCTTGGAGAACAAGATCATCCTAACAGGCAGCACTGAGAAAGCTAATGCAAGCGATGGGTGAGCAGATGAACACCAACCGTTTCAGGAGCTGGCTAGCGTCAAGGATGCTGCACTGTATTTTCACAACTGAGGGGGCCATACATCTTTCAGTCCCTGGTATTGATCCTTTCAGGGGTGAGACCCAGCTTGCCCAGATGTGACTGAGCTGCAGAAACATCCTGGAATTAGTGTTTTCCGAACTGCCTGAGAGCGCTGACTGAAGCCGCGATCGTGTCAGGGAAGCCAGTCTGTCACGTCAAGTGCTAATAAAAGGAATTAAGTCATTCGGCGAGCATGTTATTGAAGTATAAGCATGCGTAATCATTTTGGTGTCTCTATGTGATGACTCAGAAAAGCTTTTGGAGAGGAAAGGAAGAGTCTTTAGCCCCTTTGTGAGGGCATTTGCTGAAAGCACAGGGCTTTCTTGTTGCTGGGAATGGACTTGTGCACGTGGGGTGTTGCCACAGACCGAGCTGTTTGTTGTGTTATTAACTGGCTGCTTTGGAAGAGTTCCTAAAAATGACTTTTTATTCTTTGGACAGCATTTGAAAAACATACAGGCAGACACTACTAGCGTGCTTGTATCAATTCCCTTTCTGTAGTCGTATCTCCTTTTTTTTGGTCCTGGATCGGAAATGCTTTGGGAAGTCTGGGATCCTTTTCTGTCTTTCCCTCACCCTGCTCTAAATTCTTTACACCTTGGCCAACACTGTCGCTAAACAGCCCCTTCTCACAGTGCTGCACAAGCCCATCTTGTTCGGCATCTCCTGAACGTCGCTCGCCGGCAGCGCTCCCGTCTCCGGTGTGCCGGCACAGGGGGCGGCAGCTGCTCTCCGCTTCCTCGTCCTAACAAGAATTGGAGGAACTGCTTTTCCTGGATGCCCACCCACTTCTTCCAGGTTTTCCACTAGAGCTGGCAATTGTTAAGACTTGATATCATTCCTGTTCTGACTGATATGAGAGATGAATGGTGAATTGCTCGTATCATGGAGCATTTGATGAGGTGGCAGTGTCATGACATCAATCAAAGTTCATGTATCCAGACTACTGGCATGTTTTCAGCTGAGAAGCTGACTTGGAAAGTTTAGCAAAAAGTGGTAAGTAGGTTCCCAGCATCTGCCTCAGATAATATTGCTTCATTGTCTTCTATGAGTTCATTAGGAAAAGCATATAAATGGAGTTGGCATGTCTAATGCAACTAAAAGAACCAGAAAAAGACTGAAAAAGGATGTCTTTCTATTTCGTTTCTGGAGCCATTCTACTTTTGTATAAAATCAGCATTGTGATTAAGGCATTCTTATTATAATTTTGGAGATACATGTTTGTAGTGTGAGGCGTTACAATGTATGATTCTACACCCCATTTTTTTCCCTTTATAAAATTAAAAGCTTTCAATTCTTAAGAAAATTAGGGTTTCAGATTGACAGTTCCAGATGTAGATGCTGTCTGTTCATAAAGCAGATGCTATACGGCAGCAGAATCAAATTGCCTATTTAATTTTACTTGAGCACCTCAGCTCTGATCCACAGAAACCCTTGTGTCAGCAGAGGATGCTAGCAATTGCGATTCGAGTATAAGCATGAATCTTTATAATACAGAAGTTGTGTTGCTGGACTTAGGTGACCTAACTGATAGTATTGCTCTTCTGTCTCTGTCCTCACTTGCTGATTATAATAACTTGCTCCCTTAACCTGGTTCATAGCAGCAGCTCTACTATTGAACCTGCTGGGCTTCATTAACCTGTTTGAGAAAAAATCCTGTTGTCTGACTCTTCAGCTTCATGCATTTTCTTGTCATTTGTATGTGGGAGAAGCCTGAGTCCTAACACAAAGGCTGCTTAAACTGTGAGCGTAACTTAGAGGCTAAACCAAGGCTTTGCCTATTGAATCATTCCAAGAGTGGTGCTGCTTCTGTACAAGCACATGCTGCCCCAAATACATTTATAATTCAAAATTATTTTCAGCAGTAAGAGTACAGATGGAGCCAATAGTCGGTTCTTATTTCTAGGCTTTTTCATCTTCTGATGGGGGAAAGGGGGAGGAGATTTCCTCTCCAGCCTCCTTTTGAGGCTGCGATGCAAGAATCAGGCAGATGGTTCAACTGTGGTCTGCCCTGATGCCTGACGTCTTTTGTGTGGAACCACAGGGACAGTGGCACGTGGCTAGTACCTGGATCCAGATCCCTACGCCCAGGGTCAGGGGACACATCGCAGCACAGCCTCTTTCGTGCAGGACCCTTGAAGAGGCTCATCCCAGCTCCGGCGTGTGGGAAGAGCAGTTGCTGCGAGGCTCACGCAGACACTCGGCAGGTCTGTGCATAGCCTTGCTCCAAGGCTTGATCACCTCCTGCGGGCTGGAGCTGTGCTCCCGAAAGGGAGGTTTGGGTTGCAGCTGGTGCAGAGACGAGCCACAGTCACAGAGCAGAGCTCAGCCTCTGCGTGCTGGCGCGTGTGGCACTCAGTCCAGCCTGCGCCTGTTGCTCAACAAAACCTGTGGAAGGTTTCTTTTTCAGCAGCCTGATGGGAGATGTTTCAATCTATTCTAATCGAGTATTACTCCAAAAGAAAATGCTATTTAAAAATCAATGTCTGTCTGTCCATGGCTGTTCTCTCACTTCTTTTACAATTTTCAAGGCTTGGAGCTGAATTACAAGTTCTGTAGCACCTGGATAATGACTGGCAATGGGATACATTCACAGGGGACCAAGTCTTGGTCTTGCTGAGACCAGTAGAGTTTAAAAAAAAAACCAAAAAAACCCCACTCCTTTAAGGAAATCTGGCAGCTGGAACAGACCAGCACAGTTTCTCTGCCCTTCATCATGTCTGTGGCAAGCCACTGAGCAGGCGTGTTTGTGGGGAGCTCTTCCTACCGTCCTCCTCGCGCGCACACACGTTGCTGGGCACAATCTATCCTTCTGTGGTGGCCTGCCTGAAATGCAAGCAGGGGTTATTAGACAAGGACCTGCCTGTACAACTGGTGTGCTAGTTCTCAGATGGAAATGACAACGGCTTTTTTTAACTAAATCATTTATTTGATTAGATTAGGCAGTAACTGTGCTCTGGCTTCAGTCATTTAAAACCAAATTAATGGAGTGCACTTGTAAAACAAGGCATAGTAAGGCAAGTAAATCCTTTTTCCTGAGTCTCGGAGGAGTTACTTTTTCCCTGCAGCATGTAAAGACTTGTGCATGCCTACTATGTCGTGGATCAGTTACAGAGCCTGCACTGCTGTTCAGATGACACCATTGGTAGACATGCAGTTTTCTTATCCCCTTCACCTGGTAATATGTTTGCCCTCTTGTCATCATCCCCCATTTCATTTTAATAGGGACTCGGCTACACCATCAGCATAACAATGTTTCACAGAGGTCTCTGCTCGTTTAAGGATAGTGCTTAGAAAAAGGCTGGGTTTGGATTGACAACTGGGAAATTACTAGTCCACCGCTGGATTGTATGGCGAGTCTGGCCTAGCCCACCTACATTCAAACCTAATGCTGCTATTGCTTTTCAGGATTAATATCTGGCAGAAATTCAGGCTGGGTGCAGTGCTGCTGCTGTTTGCAACTGGAGGTGCAGGGAGAGGTTTGCTGCTCCATTATGCACTGCTGAGCACTGCTGAATGCAGCTCTGCTGGTGGGAGAGCAGGAGATGCAGCTTCTTTGGGCCTCTTTCCCCACTGAGATGAGGCATGAAGACTTGAGAGGGAAGTGTTCTAACAAGCAGAAACACACAGCAGCAGCCCCTCAGGTGCTCTCTCAAACCCCCACCCAGCCTGCATAAGAATTACAGCAGTTTTCCAAAACGTGCTGATGAGAGCCCATGAGTTAGGTGGCATCTCAGCCCCTCAGGGAAGCAGGCGGCAGTGATTTCTGGAAGGCTGAGATTGCTCACAGAGCAAGGGAGGTGCTTGGTTTCCCCAAACCCCTCTGAGGTCTGTAGGAGCAGTATGAGATAGGGATCTCCCCTGTATTGCCACATGATGGGAAGCGTTCCCACACCTGCGTCTGCAGCCCAGCGCGCTCTATCTGCTGTTCCCCATAGGGCTGACCTGGTGTTACCTACTCCTAATGCACTCAGTACAGCTGTCTACACAAGATCAGTAGTGCAGGGAAAGGCTTGGAGGCCTTGCACAGGCCCTGGTGCTTGCTGCTGTTGACTCTTGGTCACTGGAGAACCTGGCACATTGCTTTCAATAACCGTTTGGACAGGATATTTTTGAGTAACTGCTTTGAGAATTTCCCTCAACAAGGGCCTAATCCAAAAGCCTTTTAAAGTCATTGCTAGTCTGCTGAATAGTGGTTTCTGCTCATTAATGTAAAGCCTGAAATGACTGGACACAGAAGGCTATCAGTTTCCAGTTCTCCTTGAGCAGATGTTTCTGGCTAGGAAAACATGCCTCTTGGGGTTGAGATGAATAGAAATTAATTGCAGGGGATTCCAAAAAAAGTCAAAAATAAAAGCAATTTCATTTTAAAATAAATGTTTATGTTGCAGAAATAACTAATGGGTTGTGAGCAGTAATATTTCTAGGATGTAAAATAGAAAATGAAATATTTTGTGCAAGGAGAAGCTTTTGGATAGATTCTGTGTATTAGATTTTATGCTGGAGTAAATTTGTACCATCAGTTCTGTCCAGAAAAAAAGAGATTTTTTAAAATGAAAACGATAGCAGGATATTGTCCCATAGAGACCATGATGAAAAAGGGGCTTTCTCTCACTTTGGGTTAGCACCCAGAAAACTTTGTTTTCTCCTGTTAATATCTTGACCAAAATCCCAAACGTTTTTAACACCTACTCCAAATACTTCTTTGCAGTGTACTGCACAGAGCATGGGTAGCTGACTGAAATAGACTGATGGGGAAAGCATAGAAATTATTGTGTGAAGAGAGATTGTTTAGATATCTTTATTTAGCAGCACTGCAGTATGTTGCCAATAGGAAGGAGAAAAAAGGAGACTCAGCTGTGTTTACAAAGGCAAAAGAAATTTTCCTGAAGTGAGGCCAACTTTGATGTGAGCTAATAACTTTGCTTGATATTGTGGGGCTAATTCTGAATAGGGCTTGAATGTCATGTTTTTGAGTGAGGACATAAACAAGTTAGTTTAGTTCCAGTTAGCTTTGCGTTTCTGCCTCTAAAAACTGGTATTTTGGTTTTGCACGTGCCGATCCTGTAACGTGGCTGAGATTGCAACGGACCTTGAAAGAGCTTGCGCCCAGTCTCAGTGCTGTGCTGTCCTGCAAACTGATGCATCACGAATCTGGCTCGGCTAGCAACCGTTCTGTGTGGTTTTGAGGAAAGCAGGGGTCTTTGTTGCTCTGAAACAGATTCGTGATGCTAATGCCACAAGCATCAAAGGCATTGTGTCTTGATCATGTACTTTTTCTCTGTCTTCTTCTGTCCCAGTAAATGTTTTCCATGTGGCCTTGATCCAACAAGGCATTTAAATGCATGCAGAACAGTAAGCACATGATGGGACTACTAGCAAATCTCACTGTGTACTAAACTGTGTTTTTAATGAAAAACAGATCACAAAATGAAACAATCTCTTTGCGCCCACCTCTTCCCTCCCTAGCATGAGCCCCTACTAATGCTGAGTTATGAACATCTTCCAGAGCACCAACCTCACAGTGATAAATCAGGAAGCATCAAATTAAGGTACAAGCCCATGCAGTGCTGTCTCTGACCCTCTGTAGATGGTTATAGCTGTTGGGAACTCCCTGCAGCACTTTAGCTTTATTCATGAGAGTGGTTTTCCTAAGCACTTGAGGAAGCAGCTGAGCAGCACGGCAGGGCTGCTCCCGGGCCTCATCTCTCCGCAAGCTCAGTTGTCAGAGCTGCGAGACCGCTTGCGACACTTGTGCTGTTGGTGATCCATGCTGTACAAGCTGTCTATGGCAGACCTGATGGCATCGCTGCTGAGATTGCTGTTGATGAAATGCTAGATGAGAGTGATCTAGGAGATCAGTGATGAGTATGTGACAGCTTTCAGATAAAACAAACTGGGTTTGAACTTGAACAGTGGGTGATTTTTCTCTCGGTCCCCCCAGCCCACGGAGTGGGCTCAGTCTGGGGCTGGCCCTTGGCGTAGGTGATTTCTGTTCAGGGTGGGTCAAAAGCAGGGTACAGCTGTGGGCACAGGGAGGTCTGCTCAAAGAGAGCAGGGTTAAGGTTGTGGGACTCTTTTTTTGGAAAAGCTAGTGTGTGAGTAACTTAATTAATTCTTTGTGCCCAGCCTCTCAGAATGAGTTTCACAGAAGACCTCTTCAAAGGGAACTGAGCTCACCACTTGTTAATACAAAGGTTTTTCTTACCGTTTTTCCAGAGGGTTTGCTAAGAATTGCATTTTTTTCCCTGTTGCCTAAGATCATTTAGGCAGTTGCTGTTGTTATGTAGAAGCGTGCCTGAGATACTACAGTGGCATAGTGAAGATCATGATGCTATGTGATTCCTAACACATTTTAATAGTGGTCATGCCCAGCCTTTGAAATGTTTAGAGCGTACAATTTCCTATAAAGAAGTCCTAGACTAGTGGTCTGCCATGGAAGCTTGGCACTGTTATTACCTGGTGGCTCAAATAAATAACTGCAAACCTATGAGAAGTTTACTTTACTTCAGTCTCCATCCCACCTCAGACAAGCACCAGACATGAGTCCCAGTATGTGAGCTCCCTTTGTTGTCCCACTGAGCCACTTGCACTCCAGACCCACTAACCATCAGCTCAAGACTCTTACTTTCTGGCATCTTTACTGCTGCATATTTAGATGAGAAGCAACAGTGGCTCTGGTGGATATCCTGTATCTTACCCCCACTCTCATCACTCTCCCTTCCCTTTACCTTGAGCCCTTGGCCTCTTCCTCTTCCCCCACACCTTTTCCAATAATTTCCCTACCACCATGATTCCCCCCATTTCTCTTTAATCCCTATTTTTCTTCCAGGAAGAATTTATTTAACCTTAAGTGCTCTTTGAATTTCCTGCTGTATTCAAATTAGAGCCAGAGAAGAAATCTTTTTGCTGCCTGCTCCTTCCTCTGGCAGCCTCTTGGCAGTCCCATGCTAACTGGAGCTCTAGGCTTTGTTCTTCCCCTCACCCTATCCCAGAATCTTACTTCAGCTTATCTATAGCCAAAGACCTGCATCCACTGAAAAAGTTGTTAGGGGATAAATCTTTTTTTCAGTGTACGTGTTGCCTTGGCAGCTACTTGGCAGCCCCTGACCAAGTGGAGCTTTAGGCTTTGTCCTGACACTCCCAACCCTTAATGTTACAGTAACCCTACCTTTAACCTTAACCCTATGCCTGGCTTGGGCTGTTTAAGGGTTGCTCAAGGCTGTTCAAGGCTATTCAAGGTTATTCCAATGCTGAGATACTGACAGTTTCTAGTCTTCATTGTAGTTAGAGTGACTCCCTTTTAAGGCCAATTTTCCTTTTGTCTCTTTTTCAGTATCACAGCTGTGCATAATATAGTTAAAGATCATTAACAGAGCTATAGCTATGTGTTGGTAGTGTTTTCTTGAGTACTATTTATAGTTCATGCTCTCTAATTAAAAAAAAAAATCTGCTCTGTCAGGTAGCACCATTGCATCTGTGATTAATTATAGTGAAAACGGAAGACCAGATGACAGCCTTGTGAAAAGGACTACGTTTGTCCACTGATGTACGCAAACTGATAAGGGTATGTGATGAAGTGGCGATGGCATGTAGTCTAGATAGGAAAGAGAGGAAAGATCTTCTTGCTCTTGACGTCTGTTGCTTGGTGCAGGGCAAGAACCATTTCTCCCCCTCTTGAAGACCCTCTCTTGGCATTCAGCTTGCCAGAACAGAAGGATCAATCCAGCTCCTTGTTCTTTTGCATCCGGCTGTAGTTGTTCCTGCCAATAGAGCTGAGAGGAAGACAGTATGTTTATTTTCACATCATGTCTCCCACCCATAAGCCGTGGATCTCCGCCATGTGAATCCTGAAAGCAATTTCCCTTTCCCCTCTTTGACTCTGTGTACCCATGTGGGGAAGTAACATCAAAAAGAAAAAAAAGGCTTCCCAGGTTTGGAGGGAATAACTATTTTCTATTAGCTCCTGGTACAACATGTTCCAATATGTTTAAGGCACAGTCTAATGGGAGGCCTCTAGATTGAATTCACCATTTCTATTGCACTTCAGTGCTGAGAAGGTTGGTGTATCCATCCCGAGGCCATGTACTGAAACCTCAGCACCCATCTGCCGCTAGAACAGCAGCTACCGTATCTGTGTGGGGGGAGAGGGCTGATGACATGTGACACTAGAGGGCAGTCCATATTTTGAGGTGGAAGAAGCTGGTAGGCAAAAGCTATCAGCCCTAACAGGTCTGCTTATGAGCTGTGATCCCTATCAGCTAATTAGACTGCTGCTTTTCTTCAAACTGTCTCCCCACAGCTCCTCTCCCCGGCACAAGCAAATCATAAAACCTTATGGAGCTCTGCAAGCAATGTCATTTATTCCCTAGCTCAAACTCTGAGGCCATGAGGGGATACCTGTTATCCTGAATAAAGGAGAGTGTATTGGGAAGCAAGACGACAGTGCTGGGTAGCCAGAAGGAGAAAGCAAGGATTAAGAGACATGTTTCACCTCTGGAAAATGAATGAGGTGTGTCCAGGAAATGGAACTGCAAATGTTAACAAATCCTTGCCCTCTGATGATTCTTATTTTAGATGCCCCCACATGAGGGTTAGCTCTGGTACCATCACAGATCCTTAGCAAAATAAGGACACTGTGCTGCATTTAAAGCTGTGAGTTCCTAATTTGAATCACAACATAGCTTTAGGAGTGAATCTAGACTAGCATGATGGAAATCAAAGTAATCCTGCAGCACGTGCAATTGCTTTTTCAATAAGTTTGAAGATGTGAGGCCAGGAAGGGAGAATGAATCTGAAAGTTGGAGGGAAAATGAAGATTCACTAACATGAAAGAAAACTCTACTATATTAGGAATTCCCATAGGCTAGTGTCAGGTCCTGATGAATGGTAACTGCCTAAGCCTCAGTCTTGAGCTATTGTGATAAGGGAATAATAGACACCACTGAGCATCCTCATTCAGTAGGGAAAGCCCTGCTGTTTTTTCACTTTACAAAGACTTAAGTAAGTGGTTTTGGTAGTGCTTTAAATATATCAATTAATTACAAATAAATCAGGACAGTCCTCTGACATAGATGCAGTTACACTGACAGGACTGAATTCCTGCATGTCTACCAGAGAAAGTCATGTGGACATGAACAACTCTGAATTGATACAGCTACAACCCACACAAAGGCTTGTACCGTTCTGATGACACCAGCAGTAAATCATATCTCTCCACCCAAAGGTACTAAATTGTTGTAACAAAAAACAAAACAAAACAAAACAACAACAACAACAACAATTCATATATCATAATTACAAAGATGATTTTTCTTTGTCTCACTGCATTTTTAGCTTTCCAACTCCTTTGAGCCAAGAGTCAGAGATATACATGGATCCACACATAGCAGAAGTGGAGAAAGCCTGGGTAAGGTAACAGTAAAATGCCTGCAGCTTGGTACAGCACACAAGTCATGCCGTGCCTACCACAGAGCTATTATTGCAGAGTTTAACAGGCATTGCAAAAGAAAAAGTTTCCAAGGGAGGATTTGGAGAGGATGGTGTTGCTGAAGGGCTAGCTTTGAAAGACAGTGACAGGGAAGGCATGGAGTGGTGTAATGAATGATGAAGCAGGCCACGGGTAAAGCAGTTGGCAGGGTGTTGGAATGCAGTAAATCTTCAGCCCTGGCATAAATCTGGTAGTTTGTTATCTAGCTTGTTATGTCAATGACAAAAGACTTGTTCATGAAGCTCTGGTATCCTGAAACGTGCCGCGTATTAGTAGAAATAACACTTTGGAGCAAGATATCTTATTTATTCCCGATCCGTTCAGCACAATCAGAATATTTTTTCATGGGACTTGTGAGTTAACAAGGCTGGTCTCTGACAGAGCAGTGATTTCTGCCACGGTGCTCAAGGACAGAGTTCTCCTACCCCTGCCTGCACAGGGGAGCTTGACAGCAGCTCTGCTTTGCTGATGCAACAGCTAGGGATGGGGCTGTGCCACAGGGTCACAGCTTGAAAGAAACACAAGAAAGGAAGACAAGGTGGGGTTTGAGTATGTGTGTGTGGTTGTTGAGGTGGCATGAATGAGCAGGCTGGGGTGGGAACTTCAGCTGGTATGGGCCAGTAAGCCCACGATGTCCTCAAGAGTAAGTAAGCAGTCATACATATAGACTAGAGAGAAACAGATGAAGCAGCAGGCAGAGGGAACAGTTTTTGATAGCTGACGTGACACATTTCAGGTAACAGTGTGTGCAGAAGCTTACAAAAGATGACACACGACTCACAGGACTAAGTCAGCCAGGCAACAATTTTTTCTAGATCAGAAAAAGAGATTGAGTTTGCTGGATTATATATTCACAACAACCAAATGGCCATTCTTAGTACAGAGATCAGGCCTATGTCTGAATTTCCTGTATATCCTGTTGTCTTGCCCAAGCTGCCTTAGGCTTAATTGGTAGGAAGCTTAAAAAGGTGCACTTTCAGCATGATGCATGAAGGACTTGAATAACTACCACTCATGCAACAAATGGAAAACATGCTTTTATATTGTGGTCTTCCCTGCAGACAACATCTGGGGTGAAATTCAGAAAGCCAGAGCAAAACTCATGAGCCTGGCAAGTGGCTGGCTGCATAGAAGTGATTTTACTCTTCCAGGAGTAAGTGATAATTGATTTCCAGAAACCAGTTACATTCAGGACAGGTCCATTCTTTCGCTATGACCAACAACATCTCCGTCTCTAATTTCTCTACCACCACTACTCTTTTGTAAAACAGCCCATCCCTTAGGAAAACTCCATTTGGAGGCAGAGATCAGGGCAAGAGGATTACCTCAGTGGATTAGACTGCATCTGAAGCCAGTTTAGGGAGATCTGCCCTATATTCCTCACTGCACAGGTTTCCTCTTTGCCCAGCAAGGCTGGCTGTGCTATGCACTGCAGCGCTCTGAGGACTGTAAACTCTAAGAAAACTATGATAAAGCACTTAATTTGACCATCAATTTATCTAAAACTCCAAAATTGTCGTTAGAGTGCTTTAGCTGTTGTCAGTAAGCTGTGCGAGATAGGAAAGCCTATGGGGTGCTGGAGAGCAGGTACCAGCAGGCCTTTTTCCTCTTCATGGAGTTTGCTCTCAGTGTTGCGGCACCATGGTGCTATGTGCCCTACTCCTCAGTGGTGTTCCCAGCAGGGTGATCCGGATCCCGTTGCAATGAGGGAGGGGAGCCCGCTGCCCAGCCCTCAGAGCAATGAGCCGCCAGAACTAGCCAAAGGGAAATGATGAGCGAAGGGGGTACATCTGGCATGTTACCGCCTTCGCCTGTAAGAAAGGGTCAATGTCTGATTCGTAGCCTTGACACCAGAGGTAAATGCAGAGCCTTTCGCAAACAGAGAGCAGGCGGAAGAAGGGGGCCCCCTCCCCGCAGTCAGCATAGCGTTTGCGCAGGATGTGGCAGGCAGGGGGTAGTTTCCTCCTCTCTCCCCAGGGCTCCCTGGGTGGGTCCCTTGTGCCTTCCTGTTGAAGCTGTTCCACTTTGCTTCAGTAGTCACTTGGCTAGAGAAAAAGAGCAAACGCAAGGCTGTCCCTGCGGCCCGGAACTAGGGCTTTAATTTGGGTCTCGGTCCCTTTTCCCATGCTGCCCCCTCCCCAGCCCTGAAGTGTGAGCCACGGGGTGGGAACTGGGCCCTGCCGTTTGACAGCCTGGCCTGGCGAGGAAGGTAATGCGAACAAGGCTGTAGAGCCACAGCGCTTTAGCCACTATGTCCTCATGCGGCATGTGGACATATCTGAGAAGTGAGTCTCTTTTCCTTCATGTTCGGGACCCTTCCAGTATTGCAGGTTAAACAAGACAAAACAAAAAAAAAACAAAAATGCAAATGAAAGCCTAGTCTCTCCAAATAGCCCAAAACAAGAATACTGTAGGGACCACACTGGGACCTGACCACTTTTCCGATCAATTTTTCCTCTTGCACCTCCGAGGGAGCTGGAGATTTGCTGGCCCTGCTCTCTACGGATGAGGAAGAAGGACACTGATGAAGCAAATCTGCATCACCCAAGTCACAGCCCGATGTCCCTGCAGGACCCTTCTTCCTCTCGGTCAGAAATAGAAATGAAGGGTTACACCCCATCCCGCTCTGCCTGGGAGATAACAAAGCTGTTGCTCAGAAATCAAGATAAAGATGCCTATGTTAAAGGCACAAATTATACCATTCAGGTATAATTTGTTTAACACAGTATAAATTCAAAATGTAGAAAAGCGATCAAAAGGAGAGACTATGAAAAGGTGCTGAAAATTTTTAGTATTTTCAGATTCAGAACTTTCCTAATCAGGGAAGTGAAAGGTTGGGCCAAGGTAGAGGCTGAGCTGAGGAATAATGCAGAAAGTAGTACCAGCAGGTTTTCCTAGCTTTGCATGTCACCACTTTGGATTTGAGGAGGGAGCAGGTGAGGAATAAGTGGCAGAGGTGGCTGTCGTGTCCAGAAACAAAACCAAAAGAAACCTCTCATAAAATCTTGATCTTTCCATGCCCTTGCTCTGAGATCACTAACCATCAAGTGCAGCTACTCAAGGTTCAAAGGGGAAAATGCTGAACTAGGGCAACTCCTTTTGCTCCTGGAGATTTATTAAACTAAAGTCTTTATTATTCAAAATATTTGAACAAGTGGTAGTGTGGTTACCTCCCTCTTTTGGAGGCCTGCTGATGCCAGCCATAACACACAAGAACAAAGCAAGAGACTTTTGCTAAGCACAACATCTCTTCTCTTTCCTCTTTCCTCCTGTGCAGGGTGACCTCTGAACAAGGGCAGGTGAGGACCTGAGCTTTAGAAGAGATTATTTTGTTCACCACTGGAATTGAAAGCAAACACTCCTGATTCTCCTTTGATGCCAGCTGACCTGAATCAAAGCTCTGAGACCTCTAGCTGATAATGTTTACCACATGCAGCAGGGAAAAGGGGTTTCCAGTCTAGCTTCTAGTTTGTTAGACTTCCATACTGAAAATATAAGTGCCCCAGGACATGGGTAAGAGTTTGGCTGCTGTGAGAGAAAGCTCACGTGCTGGAAGAGCAAATGCACAATGAAACAATGATCTTTCTGCATAGCCAACATTCAGGTATTTGACTGATGCCTTCTAATAATTAGGTAAAATATGAAAATCCTTGTAGCAGATTCTGCAGCACTTGGGTTTGCTTGTAGCTCTGTCTGTATGAAAATGTAGTTTTCCATTCCAGAGAGAGAGGGAGAGGTCTGTGCAGCACATAGGCGTTGGCAAAAAGGCAGAGCTGAGTGAAGGAAAGGAACAGCAAAAGCAACATTAATGTTTTTGCTGACAGAAGCATAAGAAAATTGAAAGTGTCACCTGAGGGATTCTCAGGGGCTTATACAGGCACTGGCAAGGTTTGAAGGAGTCAGGAATACAGACATCTCTGTCGTCTGCCACAGAGAGGGAGAGACAGTGACAGCTTCACAACCACCATGTGCTGAATAAAACAATGGGATGCAGATATTACTTCATAACCAGCAATCATTTTCTCCAGCGAGCAGTGGAGAGACCAATTCTGTTTGCAGCGCTGCTAAGACAAAGCATATACATGTTGGTACAGGGGGATGAATGAAGTTGTCTTAGGAGGAAAGCAAACAAAGGCACACAAATGCCAGACTTTCAAAGAAGCAATCTGTTATGCAAGCACTTCAGCTGAGCCTATTGAGAAGGGGAGAAGAAGAAGGAAGGGCGAAAATATATGCATTCATATTTCAGAGACCCAGCTGCCAAACGCAAGCCAAGACAAAAGGCACTGTTGTCCAATTGCTCAAAATAACGGCAAGATCAGGGTTTTGGGGCAGCGGGAGAAAGCTAAGCATTGCATGATGGGACACGTTCTGTTGTTATGAGGGCTGCAGCACTGTACGTAGAGCTTTTTGTAAGATATGGAAAAATGCTAAACAAAAGAAAAAAAATCCAGGCCCCCTTTCCTCCCCCACAACTTTCCGCGTGTCCTTGTACTGTGCATTTGTGCCCATACCCCAAGGACGCAGAAACTTGCCAGTCAAGCAGTCACATCAATTACCCTAGCCTCCTGGGAATGCGCTGTCCTAGGGGATAGACACTCGTTTCATAAACTGCCTTAAAAAGAAACAGCGAGATGGGGGCAGGGAAAGCAGCTAAAAGATGTAACGCGGTATTGAAATCTTCTGAACTCATTTAGCAAGCGTAAGAGAACAAGGAAGCCGCTGCTGCTAAACAAAGGCTTGCGCAGCTGGACATGTGTGAGTACAACCCGCAGCTTGTCTCAGGGTTCAGGGTATCAGCAGACAACCTGCATCGCTTGTAATCTGAAAAGGAGAATTTCCACTTCACTGGAAACACCTCTCTTCCCCCTGCCCCTCCTCCCTCCTCCTTTTTTTTTTTTATTTTGGTGCCAATTACTGATCGATTGTACTTCCTGAGAGACCGAGTTAAGATTGTTTGACCTGGGACAAGACCTCATGTCTATCTCCACTTTTTAAAGAATTATAGAATAACCAACCACATCGTGCGGCCAAAGGGCACTGCGCTGCCCTCCTTTAGCCCAAGCTTCTCTGTGTTTTAAAACTCATTAGCTCATTCCTAGCTCTATCAGCCTTTTTATCTGTGTCAATCCGAAGGCCAAAGACCACTGTGTGATTTGCGGGCAGCCCTTCCAGAGGTTGCAACAACCACTGCATAGCAGCTGTCCCCTCCTTGAACTGCCAAACCTGCACCAGCGTTACAACTGCTGGGCCCTCCCGTGCCAGGCCTCGTACTGTTGCCATACATGGGCTTTGTCCTCTTCCCCAGCACTGGCACCTGCTGTGTCCACCGTCTTCTCACAGCATTTTTTTTTCCCTCTGATATCCTCCAGCCCCTTTAACTGAACATGTGCATACAGGACCCTACTGGTCCACAGTGGCCTGGTAACGCATCCTTTGCAAGGACTGAGGGACAGAACCCGTCTCCCCGCCGCACATCTCCCTGCTCTCCCAAGAGGCTGCCTTCTCCTCTCCCTGCCTCATGTCAGAGCTGGGACAGCGTTAGTGCAACGTCCAAGCCAAAATCCCGTAACGGTCTGATTGATGGTTTTGCTCCTGCCAGCTCCCTCTGTGCGTTCTGCCGCAGCCCTCCACAGCCAAGATCCAGGCGTTGTGTCTCAGATCCTTCGGTGTTTAGAGGTTTTTATTCTGAGCTTGGCCTACCTCCAGGCCAAGGGCTACATACTTGGGGAGCGTTACTGAGCTGATTCTGGCCTTGCTGGGATCATCTGTAGTCAAAATACTGTGTGATCCCTAACGTGCAGGTGAGCGAACGGGTTGGGGATCTCACTATCTGATCCTGAATCACAGCTATTTTTTGCCTGATAGCAACACAGGAAAAATAAAATAACTGCCTAGGCTTGCCTACGCTTCCCAAACCCAAAAGGTTGCAGTTGGTTTGGAAAGCACTGTGTCACATGTAGCTTTGTGGTATTAAATTCATGCAGCCAGCTCTCGCCTGCATGAGTCCTGGGATCCCACTGATGATGGAAAATGCAACTAATATTTCTTTCACCTTCCAGCTGGCCCTGGCAGCAGTAGGCCCATGTTGTTGTGGGGACACACCTGAATATGCAAGCTCTGGGCTGAGGAGAGGCCAGCCTGGAGCCAGCCCTGGCTGTCCCTGTGCTGTGGTCTATCTGCAGCCTGGATCATCGGCACTGGCTGAAGGAAAACAGCTGTAATGCCCATGTGGGCAGAAGGAAGAGCACAGTTGGTGGCTAGAGCATGCCACTGGGATACAGGGTGCTTGGCCTAGGTGTGTTTTACTGAAAGAATTTCAGTCTCAAGCTCATTCATAAGGCAAGCCCAGCCCAAATTCACTGTTTCCCAGTCAGCGCAGGCTTTTGATTCAGTGTTGGGCTACGTCACCTGCGACAGATGCATTTTGATGTGCAGCTGAGTTCACTAAAGACAGGGCAAACCTTACGTCTGCCTTCCAAAACTGGCCCAGGGATGCCTGGGGGAGAGGTTTCATGCACCACAGCTCTGCCTGGCTGCTTTCCCAGTCTCCATGCGGGGCTCTCCACATTGGCCCCGTACCGAGTGGCATGGAGGGTCCTTGTGCCTGGCGCCCAGCCTGCCCGAAGCAGGGAGGGCCAAGAAGGCTGCACCGCGGCAGCTTGAACCCCACGCAGGGAAAAACATTGTGCCACTGCCCAGGCCTGTGTGAAGCCACACCACGCTCTGCAAGCATGGGAGGATCCCATGCAGGTATTTATAAAAGTGCTCCCAGGTCTGTCAGTAACAGGGGGTGCCAAAGAGGATACCTTTTTTTTAGCATTTTTTAGCATTTTGTTTTTATTCAGTCTAGTCTTTGTTTCAAAGAGCAGTGTGTAGGACAAGAACTGACAATTCATATTTTTAAGGTCCACAGAGAGATATAAAACCGAGCATTAAAACGTAAACCAAATCACTGATGAAGGAAGAGCCATGTGTCTTTGCCACAGGTAAGCAGCCAGACATCTGCTTTAACAAGTTTTGTTTAAAGGCCCCCAGTGAGCACACCCTTGCTCAATCTCCTATCAAAAGGAAATTCAGTCACAGGAGGATTCTTCTTTCCCCGAGAAGTTTTCCAGCCATATGTTACAAGTCTCAAAAATTCATATCTGAGTCATTTATTTTTAATAGGCAAATATCTTCCTTCTGTTTCTCCCTTATTCAGCCTTCCTTAGAGGCAGCAGAAGAACAAGATAATAACTTTTTTAAAATAGAAAAGACAAAGAGCCATCCCTCTTTTTCTGCCTCGGATTTGTGGAAGTTTTTCATTTAGACGTCTCCTCAGAAATGAAAGCCTCCCATGCTCTTTTCCTTCCATGGTGCTAACTAACTGAGGAAGCCCGGCTCCTCACCGCCTTGGTATGCAGTACACAGCTGCAGGCAAACTTCCTTGCTGATCTGGATGTTATCAGGGGATCCCATGCAAAACTCAGCATCAGGTGCTTATTCCATACTCAGCACCTTCCCCCTGCCACACACATCTCTATCTGTGTGAAACTCTTCCAGATATTCATGTAAACCACCGTTAACATTGGTCATACAGCTAGTATGCATGAAATGCACTATACTTACCCTCAAAGGGCAGGAGGGGGTTGCCATCACCTTCTTCCTCTTGGAGGTTGTTTTTAAGCAGCAGTTGTGGTCAAGGCTTTTTGAGACACTGTAATATTCCCTCTGGAGAAAAAAGGGAGAGAAAACAAAAGTGGTATGGGGCCAAGGGAGAGCTGGGGAACCATATGGGGCTGAGACCACCCCATTCAACTCAAGCAATGCCGAGCTGCTTTCCCCTGCATCCCTAGGCAAAAGGAGCTAGCGCAGTGGGCCTGCTAACTATTTTGCCCAGGTTTCTCCGACTCGCTTTTGGTCTACACATTGCCTGACTGATCACTCCTGGACAGCGTGGGTAAGTAAGTCTCTCAGAAATTGCATTTATGCAATAATATATATTGTATTTAAATCCATATACACACACACACACACACACACACACACACACACACATACACATCTATATAACTGCACTGCAAATCTAACTCCTCCTGTAAAGTTCAGTGTGTTTTTTTTTTCTCTTTCATGTACCAGCAAATGCATCTGAATTACATGCTGGAACTGGGTGCAGGAATTATCTGCAGGAGTTACATGTGCACTAAAATATGTAAGCAATTGGATGCATCCAAGTTTGGAAATTATGTTTAATAGGCAACTTAGGCAAAGTCCTCTTGATTTCTCTCAACATTAGGATTTTCTGCTTTACTGGTTTATTTTTGGAAGCTCACACTGCAAAGAGAGGAATTCTCTTAATAAAGTCATGCAGTCTCATTTGTGCAAATAATTTTTCTTTTCTTACTCAGAAATATGAAAGAACATTGTGCTGCCATGCTTAAATCTATACATGTTTAGCTGACTTGGAAGTTGGTACTGTATTTCAGAGACTAGCTCACTAAGCCTGATTGGTATCCTTTATCTTTTGATGTTTAAGAAGCTTTTCTTCCTAAAGTCTCCTTTTCTTTTAAGGCACTTCAGTGAAAATGTTCTTCTGCCCATCTTCAGAACTGCATGTAGCATATTTCTATTCGCCCTGATTTATTTTATGTATTCTCTTGACTAAAGGCAGATGATAAATTTGCCTTAATTTCATAGTTGGTGGGTTTTTTTCCTTTTTTTTTCAATTCTGCCATTTTTTGGAGACATTTATTTCATGCTAATGAAATTAAGTATCTACCTGTGTGTGATCATTCTGCTAAAAGCAAAGTCTGGTGTTTCACCTGTACAGTAAGGACATTAAATGCATCAACTTGAAGCAGAATCAATTTATTCTTTGCCATGATTTCATCAAGCATCTGTTCTTTTCTTCTCAAACTACTACTACTTATGTTCAAATGAAAAAAAGTATGTTTAAAAATAAAGTAAAGGGTCAGATTCTGACCTTGTCTTCTGTGGGAACTGCACTGATATGATGTTTTAGACATGTTCTATTCAGAATTCCACAGTAGAATGAGGAGCGTTTTTGTTTTGTTTTGGGTTTCTTTGGGCAGTGATAGCTACAGGGTAAAAGGCCCACTTATGTCTTGTTTGAAGATTTTAAAACAAACCATAGTCTTCAGTGACATTTCTGGGACTTGTACATCACTTTATTTCTGTATTTCACTTCTAGCCTTTCGTTACCAGAGGTGTTTGCAGAAAATGAGAATAATAATAATAATCATTAATATTTTGAAGACACCATCTGCTCCTGCTTCATCTCTCTCCTGAAATCATTTTCTGTTTGTGACATCAAAATTGATACTGTGGAAATATTTATCATCTCAAAAATAGAAGAACATGACAACATGCAGGAAAAGAACAGCAGGAGATGAGGAGCTTCTAAAAGTGGCCTGATTTCTACTTTTATTTTTTTTTAAACTCTGATATAAACTGTATCTCCCTAAATAATTTAATTTAGCAGATAATAGGCCTCCTACCTGCCATACTTTGCTAGCATGTGTGACTTTCCCAAGCGTTCACGTTCAAATGTGAGGTGATCAGAAATGGCTTAAGACTTAACCTTCCAAATCAGGGTTAATCATGAAAATGCAACTAGATCCTCAGCAACAGATTCCCTGGCAAAATGCTCTGTTGGTTGCAATTCTCACCAAATTAGGATAAACATTAATTAGCTCCATGTTCCTGCTGGTGCTTTGTAAGGCGCAGGGCACATTACTCCTTCCGTTAATGCTCCGTTTAGCTGTGGAGGAATAGGGCAGGTTTGGACAGGAGGCTATGGCTGACATTTCTCTTCCTGCTAGGCGTCAGAGACTGGCTGCAGCAAGAGGGGAGAAGCTGGGTAAAGCACAACAGGTCTCCTTGCAGGACCAGGCAACCTCTCGAGTAGCTGGTTAGCCTGTCCAGTCCTCAGACTCAGAATTACGATGATCACCAGGTTAGAAACAAGAATCAAATCAGGAACAAACAGGGCTTTTGCCTCCTTAGGTAACATGTGGTGCAGTCCACCTTTGAAGATGATCACCTTTGAAGACCCCAGGGGTCAGTCCTGGGTCCAGTCTTGTTCAATATATTCATCAATGACCTGGAGGAAGGGACAGAGTGCACCCTCAGCAAGTTTGCTGATGAGACTAAACTGGAGGGAGTGGCTGACACACCAGAAGACTGTGCTGCCCTTCAGAGGGACCTGGACAGGCTGGAGAGCTGGGCGGAGAGGAACCTCCTGAAGTTCAACAAAGGCAAGTGCAGGCTCCTGCACCAGGGCAGGAATAATCCCATGCAGCAGGGCAGGCTGGGGGGGTTGACCTGCTGGAAAGCAGCTCTGCCGAGAAGGACCTGGGAGTCCTGGTGGACAGCAAGTTAAGCACGAGGCAGCAGTGTGCCCTTGTGGCCAAGAAGGCCAATGGTCTCCTGGGCTGCATGAGGCAGAGTGTTGCCAGCAGGTGGAGGGAGGTGATCCTGCCCCTCTCCTCAGCCCTGGGGAGGCCTCACCTGGAGTACTGGGTCCAGTTGTGGGCTCCCCAGTACAACAGAGACATGGCACTACTGGAGAGAGTCCAGCGGAGGGCTGCAAAGATGATGAGGGGACTGGAGCACCTCTCCTCTGAAGAAAGGCTGAGAGAGCTGGGCCTGTTCAGCCTGGAGAAGAGAAGACTGAGAGGTGATCTCATCAACGTGTACAAGTATCTGAAGGGGGAGTGTCAAGAGGATGAGGCCAGTCTCTTCTCCGTGGTGCCCAGCAACAGGACAAGAGGCAACGGGCAGAAACTGAAACACAGGAAGTTCCACCTGAACCTGAGAAAAAACTTCTTCACTGTGAGGGTGACAGAGCACTGGCACAGGTTGCCCAGAGAGGTAGTGGAGTCTCCTTCGCTGGAGATATTCAAAACCCGTCTGGATGTGATCCTGGGCAATATGCTCTAGAGGTCCCTGCTTGAGCAGGGAGGTTGGACTAGATGATCTCCAGAGGTCCCTTCCAACCTAAACGATTCTGTGATTCTGTGATCATCTGGGATTTTTGCCCTGACAGACTTCTTGCTCTGGCATGGTCCTAGGATACTGCTAGTGCTTTTGTTCTCTCCTGCTATCTTTCTGTGGTCCTCTAAGTTGGTTGTTTTGTGTTTTGTTTTTGCATTGAAGATCTTAAGTTTGTCATGGGTTAATAACGAGACAAAGAAAGGGTGTCGATCTTTCCATTCTATAGTTGCCTGTGACTGCCAAAGACTGGATTTAATGACTCAACAGGCTTCTTCCTGTTGCATTACTGATGCTAGTTGTTCAGGACAGGCTTACGGGGGAATCTGGAATATTGCCCTGGCAATGCTTTACTTGCATTTAGATCTGGCTTGGAAATAGGACTTTTGTAATGAGCTCTGGAAGTTGAGAGTTACCCCAGAGAAACGAGGTGAGGGGAGTATTCTACCGTTTGAAGTCTGCAGCCTTCATTTATTTAAAGCACTTTGAATTTGAATCCAGTACTCTTCTGAATTTTAATTTTTGAAGTAAGGATTGATCATACTTCATGCAGCAATGGAGTCCCTCTGCTGCATATCATAGATCTAAACCTGACACAGACCTTTGGATATAATCAAATAATAGTTCAAAAAACAGCAGGAAAGCCTTTTGGCAGTCAGCGCAATTTTGCAGACCAAGTCACCTCCTTATTCAGTGTACCTGCTTGCTGCATGATTTGGCTGAACTTGTTGTGGGACAGCTCCTTCATGTCTGCTTTTCTTCTGGGGTTTTTGCAGAACTCTACACAGCTGTTACTTCTTAACTCCACCTCCTTGTGGCTGCTAATCTTCATGTCACGTCTGTTCCATCTAGTAGGATTATGCAGTCGCTCAAACAATGGAAGTCTAGAAGCTGTGTGAGTAGCAAAGTGATTACATCTTCACCTGACAGATTTTTAAGAAATGTGCATGGCTGTATTACCATCTCAACTTGGAGACAAGAGGCTGTCAGAAAATTCACTGCTTTCTAATCTTAGGCCTAGCTTCTTTCTGACTTTATTGTGGCACAGATACTAGAATGCAAATTATCAGAGTACACGCAGGGACTGAGGCAGGGATACCCAAATGTCTGTTCAAGGTTTCACCTTGGATTCACAGGGTGAAGCCATCTGAATGCGGCATTAGCCATGACAGACAAGGCTTATCTGCTACACTGCATTCCCAGTGTCTCTGGGCATGTCAGTGGCCTTTGGGAAGCCCAGAGCACAGGGAACCATGGTGTGAATTAGTCAAGGTAGCTTCACAGAGAGTCTAAGGGAGACAGAAAGATCAGCGCTGGTCCAATGATGGTAAGCCCTGCTTGGCTTCTTGACCAATATCAAAAAAAGGAAGCTACCACTGTCTACCAAACAGCAGAAGAAACTAGGAGACAAAATGTTGTCACAGCAATTTTAGGGGGCTGCCTTAGAGAAATCTTGATAGAAAAGCAGTCCTAAATACACACATGGATAATGGGAAATGGAAGATTTAGAAAAAAACCAATTGTTATATGGAGATAAGGAGATGCCACTAGACCAGATTTAACAATGGGAACTTTATTGTCATCTTTTTATTTAACAGAAAAGCTGATTATATTCTCTTTCAAATGAAAAAATAAACAATTGAAAAGAAGGGAATGGTAAATTGTTGGCTGCCTATTTAAAAACACAAAAGTTGCAAAGAGTTATTCCAAACACATTTTCTTCATATTATTCACTAGCTCATAACTCAAATGCAATAGCTAATGAATTTCAGACATTCTGAAATGCACAAGTACACTTCACAGAGTCTCCTATAATTGATCAATCTATAGGGAGAGGATTAATTTATCAAAATTAGAAATACTTGATAGGGCTGTTCCACATGTCCTCTAACTTTAGTGTGGAAAATAAAACAATCAATCAAACAAAAAAGAGAATTTCTCCAAAAAGGCGATTCTCCAACCAAATTAGATTGAACTTATTGTGATAATGAATCCATTTTGGCTCTGATAAGGAAGGTAGTGAGCTCAGAAGTTAAGAACCACATATAAACACCGGTACCCAGAAACTCTGTGAACTAGACTGTTACTACATGATGCCAGGTCTCAGCATTTCATCGTAAAATGTTCAGCAACACCTTGAAGCGCCTGCTTAATTTTAAACTTGTTAGCTCATAGATTGACTGCTGAGAAGCACTTTCACTGGACAAATGGCCACAGCAATTGGATATGTCATGAACCACCCCCTTTGCTGTTTGATTTCACTCTCACAGGTGCTGGTGGTCATTGTCCCCACAGCAGTCCCTGGAGTGAGATATGACTTTTCTCTTCATCTTTGTCGGCATGGAAGCCGCTAACTCTGAGGTGACTGAGCATGGTGCGGGACTCCAAACATGGCGAGTGAGGAGCATCACACATGCGGTTCCACAAGCTCCAGCAGTTATTTGGTGCACATTCACTTACAAAACCTGATGTCTGCATGTACGTTTATCCTGTACCCAGCACAATGGGATGCTGAGTTTAGGACTTTTGAGTGCTGCAACAATGCAAATATTAAATAAAAATTCATGACAAGAAAGAACAGGAAAATAAACAAAAGCTTGGTTCCGACTCAGCAGGACCTTTCTTTTGAGCTTCAATATTGAGCTTCAAATTTGGACAAATTACACTTTCCCAACAAATGAAAACTAAAAACATATTTGTTGTTGCTGTGTTCAGACTGTGGGACATGTTCACATTTTCTTTGCATAATGAAGAATTATAACCTCGTTCGTAATCATTAACAGCAAGGAATACAGAAAAGATTTTACATACCAGATATTATCAGGGAGATGATGAAACCCAGACGACACTTCAAGAAGGACTTCGAAATCCTTTTTCTTTAGATAAGCTACCTGTAAGCAAAATTGTTGGGCTACTTTTTCTCCTTGGTTTTCATTAACATAGCCATTTGCATAACAAACAAGACACTTATTTCTGAGAAGTTCACATTCTCCTGCTGCTTGCTCTCCTCCTAAAGTTTCATTCTCTGTTACCAGCCTGAGAAATCACTTCCACTAAACCCAACTCTGATGTCACCCCTGCGGGTTTGGCATTTCAGGGGAGCAGCAGCCACAAAACCTGCAAGAGTACAGATTATGTTCCCATGCCATTTGTTCCATTAACAACTTATACTGCATGTTAAAAAAAAAAGGCGAGGAGAACAAAATAAGAGAGGATATCAGGAGATTATATTCTTTACCTACCTCAGATGTTTGCAGCTGAGTTAATGCATAGATTATGAGCCTCAGGTAAGGCCTTCTGAGGCTAGTGGAAGGACTTTCATCAGATGCAGTGAATTTCAGATAGGGCTGTGCTTTTAGAGTGAAACAGAGCACTACTATGCAATTGACACCGGCAAAAACCTGCGGGGAGAAAAGAAGCAAGCAAGAAAAGAAAAGAAAAAAGGCTTTAGGCAGTTTTGCTGGCTTGGATATAAAGGTTCACAGTAGAATCCATTGAAGCCCAAACAGATTCATATCTAAATAAAAATAAGGAAACTACTTCATCTGAATGAGATTTTGCTGATCCTCTCTAAATAACATGGTAAATGTTCAGTCACTTTAGTAATTAAATTTTAACTTTAGAAGCTAAATTGCTTTTAAACAAGCTTCTGGGAGCTACCTTTGGCATGCAGATCAAGAGTCTTGTCTTCTACACTGAAAGAGCCTGGAGTATCATTATGACAACGAGCATTATAAACTAAGCCACCACCAGAAAGAGATTTGAAGGAGACGAGCCCCATATTTAGCTATAGTCAAGAACACGTGTGGAAAAAAAAACACTCAGGAAGTTTAACCAAGAAAATATCATCTAATATTTAAATCATTAAGGGTTACAATCAACCTATGTTGTAACAAAAAATTTACAGCGGAAAAGGTAGTGGATGAAACTGTGATGATAAGGGACAGGCTACTGAGAAAGGATAATGCCTAGTTAAATAATCACCATCCAAAACATGCTTGAATATTTCTAAAATAGAGACAGATTGCAGCTTTGAAAAATATAAGGAGCACCCATAAGATAGAAGGGTCTGTCTTGTAAAGGACGTGAAAGTCATTATGAATAACCTTCGTGACACGACTTCCCAGGGTAATGCTATGGAAAGCCTCAGTAGTACAAAAAAAAGGTATATCGAACAGTAGTAGATATGCGACCTTGCCTTTGTATGCAGCATCGGCAAGACCACTTCTGGAATAACAGGTCCAGTTCTGGGCTCCACTGCATGAAGGATGAGGAGATAATGGGGAGAGTTCACAGGAGGACATTCAGGATGATCCTAGGCCAGGAGAACAAACCTTTCTAGGTATGATTTCAGACATGCAGATTGACTTTCTCACTGAGAAGGAAGCTGAGAGGCGACTTACGTTCTTAGACATAGAAAAATCTATCCACTAAAGGAATGGAGAATTGCAGACAAAGGCGTAACAAGATCTGGAGGGTAGAAATTGAAGTCAGATACATTCAACCTTGACAGTAGATGTAATTTCCTACTGCTGAAGTTAATGGGATGTCAGAATGTCTGAACAGGGGAGGTAGCCATTCACGACTACATGGGGCAGTCCTGTAACTTTATGATGACTCATGCCCCTTTCAGAATGCTGCTCTCTGAAAATCAGTGTCACAAGACTGGAACAAAGTCACAGTCAAGCAAGAGAGAGCAAGCTATGGGGCATCAGGTGCAGAGGGACAAGTGAGGTAGAGGAGACTCTGGGACATTGTACTGACACATAGCTAGCTATATCTTGAACGACTGTGGGTGGCTATAGAAATGAAAATGTGATGCTTCCTCTGTTTGTTCCTTCCCTCTTGCACCACAGAGAGGCTGGGGAGAGCTCTTGTTATCAGAATGTGGGTAACACTGGCATACGCTATTCATACCATTATTACAATGAACTTTCATGCCTCCAGGCTTCACACAGTTGCCTGTAGGGTTCAGGAGAAATACTTTTCCAGTCAATGTACAGCTGACTAGATACATATTGCATATGAAGGCAGAAAGAAGAACTATAACTACAACTGGACACAATAAATCTGAACAGGAAAGATCACAGGACACCCAAAGAACAATGTGGTGCTGGAAGATGATATTAAGAGTCCTTTTACATCCATGACATTTTATCTAGCCAATTACCAGATGTGGAATTAGACCAGAAGAAACTTTTGGGTAACTTTGACTGGTCTTTGTGATATAGACCACAGATTACCTGCTAGCATTGCCTTCCCACTTGGTTCCAGTCATGAAAGGGCCCTCAGGCACTGGGACGCAGTGCCTCCTGCTGCCTACCCCCTGCTTGGCAACAGCTAAGCCTCCAGAGCTGCTTTAGCCCAGGCTTTGTTCATGGGCTCAAAACATGAGATGGCAAATGAAATTCAGTGCCCTGAAGGGGGGCTTTCTGGCCTTAAACTGTCTGAAATTTGAACAGAAGTGAAAAGCTGTAGTTAAGGACTGAGCTTCTCTGGCTTCCTGCTAGGTCTGGCTACAGCCCTTTAATTAGAATAAGCTAATTACATTTGACAGAGGAAAAGAGGCTGTCAAGTAGTATGGGATAAATTCTTTTTGATTCAGCAGAAAACATTTTAACCTTAGGTATCCTGTGGGGAACAGGTGCAGAAAGGAACCCTGCGTGTCTGAGAGCTGGACGAGAGTTGGTCTTTTAAGTAACATTTCCTCTTTGCTGAGGATAGGTCCTGTTTGGACAGTGGCTGAAACAAACTAGGAGATAGCAGCACTGCCTAAGCAGCTTTCCACCTTCCTGCTTTCCTTGTGCTGTGGGAGCAAAGCAGGAGGTGAAGAAGAGGTGATATCAGACGGCCGAGGTGGGGACTGACAGGGTGTGCTTAGGCTGCTCTTGGACTTGAAGGAGTGCACAGTGAAACAAAGCCTTAATTTGTGGTTTAGGACCTGCAACATGTCCTAGTGGGGTGGTTGGAACTGTCAACTTGAATTGTTTGCTCAGCAAACAAAAGATTTAGCCTGAGCTTTTCAAAAGAAGCTGACATGGGTTAAGGGCACCCCAGCCCCATTAAAATCCAGTAAGAACTGGGCTCCTTAATTCTTCGGGCCTCTTTGAAAATGCCAGACTTCTTCTCCCTTCCTGCAGCCATGGAACTAGGACAAGCTCTGGATACTGGTAGATGATTTGCCCGTTATTTCATAATGTGGTTAAACAACTGTAATAGCACAGAAATTAAACTTGCAGCCCCTAAACTCAAACAACTAGCATAATGTAGGGTTTGAAAAGCTGGCGATCTCAAATAGTTAACTAACAAGTGTTTACAGTGTCTCATGATAGTTGCTGGCACTAAGACAAGGGCAGTAAAAAGTGGATTAGATGAAGATAAATGTGAGACACAGGCAGAAACAAGTACTCCAGCAGATGTGTGTGGAAATTAATGGGGTGGTGATAATAACAAATTCTGATTCGCCACACAGTAAATGTGTCTCTTGATAATCAGTTTCCAGTACAATATCGACCGGGTATGTAAGAGACAGGAATCTAAAGGGGTAACATCTCAGCCTTGCAAATAGATTGCATAGACACTAAATACCTTAAAAATGAGAGCTGAAAAAGTTGTCTTTATTTGGTCCTATGCAAACTTCCCTTCTAAAGAAGTTACTTTTGATCAGAGCAGATCTGTGATCCAGTTTCTTTACAAATGAATCAGCAGAGCTATAGGGGAAAGATGATCTTCCAACTCAAGCATAATGCTGATGGTCAACAGATCTTGGTCATGTTCCAATATCTGCCACAGAAATCCTGTCTGAAGCGGGCTGCGGAGTTACTGCCCTCTCCATATGTTTGCTAATCTACCAAACTGGGATGTGAAAGCTCCCACACAACACAATACTTTGCCAGATGTGTTGTTGAACTTAGTGTGTTTATGTTTGTAAGGAGAACATAGGATGAAAGGCATTACAGAAATGTAAAATATGATTTGTTATGATTTAAAAGTCATTCTGTTTTAGCAGTGCTACTTCAAAATATTTGCACCCTGCAGGCATTTCCACATAAGGACCTAAGCCTATCTTTTCTTTTCCAGTCCCATGTTTAAAGAAATGGGGCAGCTTCCAAACCTTTCGAAAATGGCTCTTTGCATTTGCCCACTGCGGTCTGTGTGACAATGCAGATCAGGCTGTGGCTCTACACTGTAATTTATACTCTGATAAAGCCGGTGTGAGAGGTTATCAAACAGCTGCTTGCTCTAGGGGTGAGGAGCAGTAAGAGCTCTAAACTTGGGTCAGTGAAAACAATCTGGGACAAAAAAAGACTGCTGGCCTTTCTGTTTGTTTTTAACCTAGATCATTTTACTTATCTGGTTTGGAGCACATGCCCACAAACAACTGCAACACTACTTTAGACTGTGGTTTGACGTGCATTTAAACCCTGCTGAAAAGCAGTACCTGCACTCATCTGCAGCCCCCCGCCCCACCTACAAATACACTGTCTCCTCTGGCTGCTTTTAAGCTAACTCAAGTATCTGTGCATCTGTGCAGGGAGGCCAGTGCAAACCTGGCTGCTCTTCAGCTGGGCTCATTCCCTGAGCCCATTTGCTGGGCAGCTGTAGAAACATTCGAGCTAGCACAGCCCAGAGGGTCGTACCACAGACAGAATAAACGGTAGGTAAAGGGGGGTGGGGTGTGTAACAGGACGACACAGAACACTGTTTTGTGGTAGCCATACTAAAATCAAAACTGCATGCCTGGAGCGCAGCGTGAACGTGTAGGTCTGCAATGCATTTTTCTTGACGGGAAAATCATTTAAAACTGTCCCATTCCCCTATCCTTCCAGTCTTGCTCACTGTTTTCCTGCCCTGAACGACAGCTTGCTACCGCTTGAATTGTGTGGATAAAACTTGATGACAGCCCTGTACATCAAGTCCTTGAGAAGCTCCAGCTTAACAACAGAAAAATTGAGGGTTTTTTTTTTTACTTTGCTTGCTTTGTTTTGAAGGAGGTTATTTTAGTCAGGGTCAGTTTGGTGATGCTGTTCACGGAGCAGCGCTGAAAAACACTTTTCCCAGTGCGGTGGCGGTCAAGAGATGAGATTCAGCATGGAAAGGACCTGATCAGCCAAGCTGGGGCCGCCCTTACGCTGGTTTGCCACCAGAGAAAATGCAGCGTGGAGCTAGGGCTGTAGCAGGGGAGGCAAAAGAGGAGGAGGAAGGGAAGCTCTGAGACTGGCCTTGCCACCAGGGTAGCTGTAAGAAGGACCCACAAAATCAGTTTGATATTTGGTATTTCTGTCCAGACCCCTGGAGTGAGATTGGGCGGAGGTGAGAATAAATCCTGTGGGCCTTCTATAAGAAATTGCTCAAAATCCAGTAATCTTAACAAAAAAAAA